CGTGGCCGGTGGTTCCTGGTGAGTTGGCATTGGGCTCAGAAAACGCGGTGTGTCCCCCGCCTGCCCTCCCTCCAGCGCGCTCGCATCTCCGTGGCCCTCCCGCGCCTGCCGTCCCGGCGCCGCTTCCTCCGTCCCACCCCCTGGCCCTGGCCGGGAGCAGTATCCCCGGCCGCCGGGAGGTGTCGCTAGAGAGAGCGCCGCGCATTCCCTGGGGGTCCCGGCCGAGCGGAGGGAGGGGCCGCGAACCCCCCTTTCCATCTCTTAGTTTCCAAAAACACCCAGACTGTGCGAGCGGCGGCACCCACGTCACAGGCTGGCACTGCGGGGGAGGAAGCCGCCGCCGAAGGGGGAGGGGAGCAGCCGCTACAGCGATGATAAAAGTCGTTTACGATGTTTGAACACTTACCTGTGTGCCAGGCACTGTTCTAAGCGATTTCCGAGTTTATCTCGTCTCCTGCCTTCACAGCAACCCTGTGCGCGGCAGTGCTGTCCCATTCCTCCCATTTCCTGGCTAAAGAAACCGAGGGGCAGAGGGATTGGATAACTTCGGGCAGGTCTCCGTCAGTAAGTGGTTTGTCTTTCTGGATTTGAATCCTGAGCCCCGCCACTTGGTCGCTGTGTGGTCTTGGGCGAGTCAACGTCTCTGTGCCTTGGTTTGGTTTTCTCGTGTGTTCTGAGGGATCCTAGTGTCCACTCATGGGGTTTGGAGAGAATTGGGGGAGAAGCAGATCCTGGTCTCAGAACAGTGACTGGCACTTGGGAAGCTTCAAAAGGTGTCCGATATTATTTATTGTCCTTCAAGGCATAGCTCAGATGTCACCTCTCCTGGGAAGTCTTCCAGGATACCCTCCCACCCAGACAGAGGTTTTCTTCCCCTTTTCTCTGCTCCTGCAGCTCGGGGTTTGTGCATTTTACAACTTTTCAGGGAGATAATATGACCGGAAGGGCCTGTCCCCGGGCAGGTACTTACACACACTATTTCTTCCCGTGAGTTCGTTGTTTACCTGCCTAAGAGCTCTTAGAAGGGCTGGTGCCCGGCCTGAGTCACTCGGTCAGCCCAGGGCTGAGCACCAATGGGAAGTCCCCTGCTGAATGAGTGTGGGAGCCAACGCCCAGACCGGACTGGGAGGGCTGCACAGCCACAGAAGTAGCCCAGTGATCTGCCTCCCAATCTCCCCCCTTGACCTCCCGCCCAGCACCCAGCCAATCACATGAGGGGTTCAGAGCCCTGGAATTCTCTCCCCAGTTGGCCACTGTCTGGTGAGTCCTCCGATTTCCAAAGTCTGGACCTCAGTTACCCCATCAGGGAAATGGGTCTAGCAGAGCTGGCCCCAAGCCTTAGAAGTATTGCAACATCCTTCAGATGGAAATGAGGGGTGATTCAGGGTTGAATTCAGAACAGTGGTAGCCCCAAGGGAGTAGTTAAAGCACCCCCATAATCATTATTAGTCACCCCAGATCCTCACCAGTGGGAGATGGCACTTGCTCTGTGAGCACTACTTCAAGACAGGTGCCCTGGCCCTCCTCCTGCAACCTAAGAGGGAACTTTTGGCCGGACCTTTTTCTTTCGAGATCTGCCAGAGACCACAGATAGGCTCTCCAGCCCCTGGGGAGTGCTGATGGAACCTGAGGGGCCTAGCTCTGGGGCCACCTGGGATGCCAGCCAAACTACCACGGGCCATATCAGCGTGCCTTCCAGAGCTGAGCAGGAAGTGACATTCCCAGGCCCCCCTCCCCAGATCCCGGGGCGGGGTGGTTACAAAGGTTACGGACTGCGGCAGCCAAGCCTCTAGGGAGCCAGCTCTGTCACCTGTCCAATATTTGGTGCCTGTCCCTACAATTCCCCTGGGGCTGTGGCCAGAGTCCCCAACCTTTCCAAATGGCCTGGCCACTTCCTGTTATTGTGACAAGCTTTGACCCAAAACCGGCAGAGGGTTTGAGGTCTCCTAGAACAGCCTCTGTCAAAGGACCAAAGGGGGAAAGGTGGCCAGAGAAGGCATGTGACTTGCTAGAGGCCACCCAGCTAGGAGAGCAGAGGGCAGGCTCATGAGCACCCAGGCCTGGGCCATCATGTGGGAAGGGTCTCGCCTTTCTCGTGGGACTGTTGTGAGAATTAATTAAGGTGGCAGTGGAAGGCATCATCCCTGGCTCACAGTAGGTGCTCAAGAAACGGTTAACCTCTTCCCATTTCTCTTCTGCTCAGATCCTTAAAGACAAACTCAGGATCACTGCCAACTCCCTACATAGTCTAGCACCATGCCATGCATACAGCAGGCGCTTCATAAAGCCTTAAGCAGGAGCAGTGCTGAGCTTGAGACTTAAGAGCAGAGGTTTTAGCATCCAGCCAGCCTAGGACTGAATCCTGGCACCTACACTTAAGAGCTGGATGTTCTTAAACAAGTGAGTTATCTTCGTGGTGTCTCAGTTTCCTCATCTGTAACCTGGGGCTAATACTAGTAGCGCCCACCTCATAGGGTGGGTGTGAGGGTGTGATGGAGTGTCATATGTTTAACACAGCCTGGCATACAGCAGGTGCTCAATAAGTGTTATGGCCATTGTGTGATGTCCCGAACCCACCCCTGTGCCTGACACTGAGCCCCACTTGGTGATGGAGCGCTGCGGCTGGGGCAGAGCGCCAGGCCCAGCCCTGAATTCCAGGGATGGATGGGGCAGCCACACTTCAGTGGCCAGTGCAGCTCCGGATTGCTGAGCTGGGGGAATCTGGGAGTTTGCATCCGGCTGAGAAATCTGATAGAGAGATCCCAAGATAGTGTTCCTGCCACCCCGATGGGCCCCACTGCCCAGGGCTGAGCCCTCCCCTTCGTGAGATGCTGGGCCTGGGGCCCTGGGAGAGCTCACAGGCATGGAGTAGAAAGGATTCTGATCCCAGAGCAAGGATCAGGCAGGGTCGAGCTGAAGTCGCTCCTGTTGGCCCATGAGAGCTGACTGTGCCCCTGCCTCCCAACTCCAGGTTCAGCAATGCTATGTTGGGAACTAAAAATCAACCATGGTAGGAGAATTTACACCATGGAAATTGGCAAATGCCATATATATATTTTTATTTTTTATTTTTATTTTATTTTCTGGAGACTTAGTTTAACAGCACACCACTGGTCACAAAGTTTCCTGGCCACATGGCCCTTCAGACACCACTCCTGAATGCAACACCCTTAAGATTTTACTCAGATCCCCACAACCTCTCCCACACTGCCTTTTCCCACCTATTTCCTTGTTTATGTCACATGGATACAATTGAATAAAGACCAGGAGGGGTGGGGTGAAATAAAGTAAAGACAATGTAATAGCTGTTTAAAATGATGTTCTCAAAGACTATTGACAGGGAAAATACCAAAAAATGTAAAAATCCCATTTAAGTAGTGGGGAAAACACAGTCTGTACAACCACATATACACCCTGATCCTGATGCCATAAGTATATTTATATATAAGGTATCCTTTTTTATTCAACATTATGTTCTGAGCACCCACTGTGTTCTAGACAGTGGGGACCCAGTGCGGCATAGGACAGCCCTGCTCTTAGGCGCTCCCAGCCACGTGAGGAAACAGGCGAGTAATGTCCCGA